CTGTAAGTAACATGAGCGGGACAAGGTCTTTTAAAATTCTTGGGTGCCTTAGGAAGATTATACACACAGAGTTACCTTTTATAATTATATTTTATGTAAAGAGTGCTTCCATTAGATACGTGGCTTAAGAGGCTCCTGTTTGGAGCACATCTAGAAGCCCTTTCAGCAGCAGTACAGACTCCTTCTGTCACAGGTGGGCTTTAATAAAAGGCTTTAGTATCACAAGAGGGTTTGGTTTGGAAGAGATGATTATGTGTTCCAATCCTCCTGCCATGGGCAGGGACATCTTCCAATATCTCAGATGGCTCCAAGCCCTGCCCAGCCTGGCCCTGGACACTTCCAGGGATCCAGGCTCAGCCACATCTGCTCTGGGCACCTGTGCCAGGGACTCCCCACCCTCCCAGGGAACAATTCCTTCCCAATATCCCATCCAGCCCTGCCCTCTGGCAGTGGGAAGCCAGTCCCCCTTGTCCTGTCTCTCCAGGCCCTTGTCCAAAGTCCCTCTCCAGCTCTCTTGTAACACCCTTAGGCACTGGAAGGGGCTCTAAGTTCTCATCATTTGCCCTTAGTGAAGCCATATTGGCTATCACAAGTCACCTTATTTTCCATGTGCCTTAGCATCGTTTCCAGGAGGATTTTTCCAGGTGTTGAGGTGAGACCTGACCACCTATAGTTCTGTGGATCTCCCTAATTCCTCTTTCTGAAAAAGGGGGGGTTATGTTTCCCATTTTGGAGTAAGTGGGAACTTCTCTGGACTGCCACAACTTCTCTAACATGATGGATAGTGGCCAAGCCACTTCTTCCACCAGTCCCTCTGAACCCACGGGTGCATCTCATCATGTCCCATGGACTTGTGCACCTTCAGGTCCCTTAGACCTCCTCGACCCCGATGCTCTCCTACTGCTGGCAGTTCTTTGCTGCTCTCTGCCTTTGCCTCCTGTGACTTGGCCAGTGTGGCTGGAGCAGCTTGCCATGAAGGCTGAGTCAGAAACGTGGCTGAGTGCCTCAGCCTTCTCCACATCCCAGGGAACTGGGTTTCCTATTTCCTTCCATAGAGGGTCCACATTCTCTCAAGTCTTCCTTTTATCACCAGTGTACCTATAGAGGTTGCTCTGCTTGTTGCCATTGATGCCTCTGGCCAGATTTAATTCTTTCAGGCTTTGGCAGTCCTAACCTGATCCCTTACAATCTCTCTGTACTCCTCCCTGGCTGCCTGTCCTTTCCTAGTAGATGAGAGAGTAGGTGAGAAAGGAAAGAAATCCAAGCAGCCTCTCACAGGAGAAGCTGTGAGGGGAGCAGTAGGTACTTCAGCAATATTTCTCCATTCCCTGCTACCTTATGGAAGGGAAGGGCACTGGGTCAGCTGTGGTGGCTTTAACAGGAAAAAGGAGAGAAGGGGCTGGGGCACATTTCACAGAGCATGGAACTGTTGGCTCCTGTCTGCTTTAGGGAGATGGGGCCAGGTACAGGGGCAAGCAGGAGGCACAGGTTTCACAGACTGCAGATGGCTGGAGCCAGTGACACAGGGTTGTCCATCTGCAGCTGCCCTGGGACACGCTCTACTATTGATTATTGTCAAAGATTCATAATATAGCAAGAGCTTTATGGCCAGTGTCTTGTCATTTGCTATTTAAGTTTTGTTGCCATATTTCTTTTATTTTGCAATAAATATTTTGCAAAACCTCCACTGAGGAGCTGTACTAACACACGAGTGCGTGGCAGCTGCTCCGTGGTTTTGTGGTGTGCTCGGCCATGCTGGATCAGCTGGGATCCCCTGGCACGGGCTGGCTCTCCCTGGAGGGTCCTTGCCCCTGCCACCTCCCAGCCCCGCTGCTGGACACACGAGCAGAGGAACTGGGTGGGGATGTGAGTCCCAGGGACAACAGTGACAGCCTGACCTGTGCAACTGAATCATGGGGCTGTCACCACAATTGACTCGGCCTGCAGCTCCCCCCTGCCACAGGAACGTTCTGCTGGAGTCACTGACAGCAAATACCAGCTCCACACACGGCTGTGCTAAATCTTGTCCGTGCACCATTTGGAGGAGGCACTGAGCCACGAGGTGACACTGCCAGGGGGAAGCCTCACAATGGTGGAAAATGGCAGGTAAAGGGACAGGTGAGGCTTGGTGTGAATAAATACAATACAAAAGGAGGAAAACCAGTCCTGACTGTTCCTCCTGGGAGAGCTCTGGAGTTATGTCCAAGCCCAAAGCAGCCGTCACCAGCACCTGGCAGCAGCCCTCAGAAAAGTGCACAGGAACAAGTTTGGCCTCAGTGAAGGGAAGCTCGGTCTGGCTGCAAGAACTTGGAAGTGACCATGTAGAAAACCTCCCAAGGAATTACTCTCTAGGCACTGAATACCAACAATTAAAGATTCTACAGCTGGTGTCGCTTACATTGTGCCAGCAGAACTCCAGCAGCATCAGCCTGGTGAACTAATTGCCTCCTGCATAAACAGGATCGAAATCAAGCTATGGTTCCAACAGCTGTCACCACCTGTGCTTTCATCAGGATTTAAGCAAGAATTCCTAAGGATTTGATTAATTTTTCTGTAATTTGGTAAAACTTATAGTGGAAGGTAATTTGCTTATTGACATTTGGGACATAAGAGGATTTTTGCATAAAGCAAAGCTCCAAAGTGTGTCTTTGAATATAGCAGGATTAATTAATTACTCCAGTGTTATCTATAACCCACATAAGTTAACACACTTTATCATTAGGTCTGTCCACACCATTCAGTTCTGAAGGAGTAGCAAACTCTTGCTAGATTTCACCTAAAAAAACCCCAAACAAAACGAACCCATCACCTTGTGTCTTTTCTGACTGAAACTGAGTTTAGGATAAGGAATACCTCAGTTGGCACTGCCAAGAAGGGAGGTGTTTCCAGTTCAGGTCACCTAGTAGACAAGTGACATTCATTTCAGGATTCCCTGAGGTTTCAGGTTTTCCGCCCAAGGCAGCTGATATGACTTCCCAAGTAAAGTTGTGACAGTTCCTTAAGACATTCAGAAGAGATTATTGAGGCCTGCCTGGTTTTCTGAACAGAACTGACCCCTCTCAAGCCCCCAGCCTTGAAAGGGATGGTGAAGCATATCTGGACAGAGCTTGCAGCAGGCAGACCTGCATGCCGGGCAGACCCCCAGCCAGGCTACAACACCTGGGAGGTGCCCTGAGCCCCTTGGCTGCTCTCCAGCCCACCAGGACCATCTGCTGTGGAAGGTGATGCCCAGGGAGCAAAAGCTGTGCCTGGGAAGCAACTTTTCTGTTGCTAGAGTTCTCCCTAAAAACTATTTCCGTTTCAAATACAAATGAAAATGCAAGTGTCCAGGACCTGATGAGTTTAGACTGAACACAGCACAACTCGAGGGGCCCTGGCTGGGGCTGTGCCTCTGGCTGTCGGGACAGGCACTCGGCTCCGTCGTGCCACAGCCAGACGCAAAGGCTGTGGTGATCCCAGGAAGCCGTGGAAATGATCTTGCAGTGCTCTGGGCACCAACACCAGACGAGTCACTGATACCACTGGCTGCATCTCAACACGCTCTTTCCATCTGAAAAATAAGTGAAGCTGACTTACTGTGTTGTAGAACTCACATGCTAGTAAGACACTGTGAATTTTTACAGACAGCAATGGTAAAGTAGCACACACCTGCTTTCCCGAGGGGTATCCAAACCTGGCTGTGTTTGCACATGACAGTTTTCTCTCTTTTATTCTGCAAACTGTATGTGCAGATTCCTTGCAGAGGTTCCACAGCGCCAAGTCCTACGGGAGAGCTCAGGAAGATGCGTGACAATGTGTGGCACAGGTGTAAGGAATGCGCTCGGGCAGGTGCTCCATGTGCACGCAGGTGGTGTCCGCACAGTCAGGTCGGGTTTGGTAACGCGTGGTGTCACCCCCAGTCCAGCTCCCAGCTCCTGACAGAAGCAGCAGCTCCGGGGCTCGGCAGAGCGGAGCTGGGACGGCAGGACCGAGGACGGCGGCTCGGACACCGCTGGCACCAAGGGCCCCGCAGGCTCCCGGGGACAGCCGGTACCGGGCAGTGCGGCCGGCACAGCGCCCGCAGCCCCGCCGAGGCGGCCGCGGGGAACGGAGCAGCCGCAGCTGCAGCCCCGAAGAGCAGCGAGCGCCGCGGGGCAGCCTCGGCCCGGGGCCGGTACCGGGCGGGACAGGGGCCGGCACAGGGCCGGTACAGGGCCGGTACCGGGCGGGACA